CTCTCCTATTCTCCCCCGTCCTGCACACCCGCCGACGCATCACCCTTGCCGGATCTTGCACGCACGTGTAACTCGCGATTTCGTCCGTTCACCTTTAACGAAAGGCGGTATTTTCGTACGCCCACCACAGCGACGGAGGAAGCGAAAGAGACGCGCGGCAAGAGCACAAGAGCAAACCGATAGATAGAGAAGGGAAGACGGGGAGAGAGTGAGAGAGAGAGAGAGAGAGAGAGAGCCTTTTCCGAGCCCGAGGCACATACCGACAGGGATGGACGCGCGACGACCGCAGACCACGGGTCACCCCCGTGGAAGAGCTTTTGATCTCGCCTAAGACACGTTTTTTCGGACTCTCTTTTTCTTCTCTACTTTGCTCCTTTTTTTTCGTTTAACGAGCCAATGGACTCGGACGGCCGCTTCTGGAGGAAGCGATGGTCGGAAGCGGGTCGCGGGAGGGATGGAGGTCGGGCAAACAGGGGGAGGGGGCAGTTGACGAAAAGTTCGAGGGTCGTAATGCGGTGCAGTTAATTGTGAAGGGAATTGGGACTCGTTACGCGCCGCTAGTCGCGTAAAAATGGAGCACATTTACGCAGGGGTAATTAGCGCGCGAGCCACGCGTGTGGCGATTTTTTTCTTGCTTTTTAGAGATACACCGGGAATTACGCCGTGTAATCATCCCCTGTGAGTTTTATGGTCCCGTTGCTCGTATTTATACGTTTTACCGGACCGTACTTGCAATCTACGAAGTAGTAGCGCGTTTGTCGCTTTTAATCGCGTTTTACCGTCCACATGGTGCGCGTGATTTTTTCGCCAACGTTCGTCTCTTATTAACTCGTCGAAGTCGTTGCCGTAGCCGCTGTCTTTCCCACGTTAACATCACAAGTCTACACAAGTTGAGAGATAACGCCAGGTAAAACGTTCGTCCTACGACCAGATCCGATCGAAACGCACGCTTCCGTTCCATCGATTTGACAAAACGGTACTTGCACTTCGCGCTAAAACGCGTACGATCGACGAATAAATATTAGCCGAAAAAGAAACTGGGCGACAGAGTGGCGCTCGATGGAACGTGTACGGTCCTGGCCGGAGAAGCGTCGACGTCGTTGACTGAACCGGCGGGGCGCACGGCGCCAAAATCGATTTTGAAAAGGGAAAGTGGCATGTACGTGCCAGCAGCGTGGCTTTACATATACAGTATGCGCACGATTCGCGACAAAAACGTGTAGGAGGTAAAACTGCAGCCGCGCCGAATAAAGGTTGCAGCACAAACCGCGTACGTTGCAGATGCGCGCGGCAGCCAACACACGTACACAACGCGTCCGCGACACACAGGTAACGCGCGTGCAACAACGCGACTCGAGCGCGCAGATACGCCACACAGCCAACATTTACATATACACGCGCGAGGTCTGGTTCATGCCTCTTTTTTCTGGCCACGAGTACCTCTTTCCCATTCATGTGTGAGCGTTAGAAGGGAAGTTGGCGTCTCAATTCGGTGTAACGTGCATGTACCTGTACGGGTGCGTGGCACGTGTACTCCGCTTGCCTGTTACGCGTGCGTGTGCATGCCACGCACGTGTATACGATGTGCTGGGCTCTGTGAATGGCGCCACATGACGACAATTTCGGTGATTTTTCCCGGTGTTCGAGCCGGAAGCGACGCGCTCGCCCGATGGAGCTTCGTCGGACTCACGGCCTTCTCTTTGTATTTCCACGGATTCGATAAATCGGATATAACCGAAGACAGCGAAACGGTTATTAAACTGTTAATTTTCACCGATTGAATCGCTTGATGGGACACTGACAACCATTTGACCACGTACTACAGAGATAGACGGAGGAACGTTTAAAGGATAAAAGATATGGAAAGAGAAGAGAAGGGATCATTAGAAGACAGCCGAATTTTGTATCCGACCGTAATTTAAATATATCAAGTTTCGAGAAAAAGAAGATTCGCGTGTAATAAGTTGATACTTTGACGGATTAGCTCACGGATGGCTTAACTTTTGTGGGTTAACGCTCCAGCACGAGTTATTTTTAACCGTT